AAAGAAAGAAAGAAAGAAAGAAAGAAAGAAAGAAAGAAAGAAAGAAAAAGAAAGAAAGAGAGAATGAGAGAACGAGAGAGAACGAAAGAAAGAAACGACACAATGATCTTTGTTCTTAAATTTATACTCTAGTAGGGGAGATAAGACATATACATAAATATTTATAAAGAAAAATGACAAATAATTAGGAAAAACCAAAGTGTTAGGGAGCCCAATCTTCTTAGCCAAACAAACGTCAATATTCTCTATAAAGTGGCAGGAAAGATCACATACTGAGAACAAGGACATAAAGAGCAGCTAAGGCACAATGGAGAAAACACCAGATTTGGAGTCTGAAGACCTGGATTCAAATCTCAGTTTTGGTATATTTATTATCTGTATGATGCCAGGCAAAATCACTTAACTATCTGAGCATCATCAGATCACAGAATTTCAGAGGCCATCTAGTCTAATTCATACCCAAATAAGAATTCCCTATATAACATAACCAAAAAGTTAAGTAGTCATCTAGCCTTTGCTTGAAAACACTGCTAGGTGATATAGTGGATAGAACACTGTGTCTGGGTTCATATCTGGTTTAAGTGAGTTGAAATCTAGCCTCAGACAAAAGCTCTAAGTCATTTAACCTCAGTCTGCCTCAGTTTCCTCATCTATAAATTGGAGATAGTAATAGCACCTATGTCCCAGCATTGTTGTAAGGATCAAATAACCTGCATATAGTAGATGCTTATGTAAATGCTAGTTTTTTATATTATCGTTAGAAGTAGTAGTATTTGAGGGGGAAATCTCTCCAATGGTAGCCCAATCCTTCCTATTAGGAAGTTCTGTCTTATGAGAAGCCTAAATTGACCTCTTAGAAAACTTTTTCTCATCTCAAAAATGAGAACAATAATACCTGCATAACCTACCTCACTGGGTTGAATTATATCAAAGGATATAAAGCATTTTAAGTGCTCTGTAAACAAAAATGGTTATGTCAGCTAACGCTATGAGGGTTAAAACTGGGAAAATCAGGCAAGTTACTTTTAATGTGAATTATCATGTTTTGAGTCTTCAGATTTTTTTATAACACCCATATTTGTATAAAGTTTCCTACCAGCGATGCAGGCAGTTTAGAAACTTCCTTCTTTTATGGCTCTCCATAGGGGCATCTGTCTAGGAATATTGAGGAAATATATGAAATGCCATAATAGAACATAAAAATGTATCTTTGATTAAGAATAAATCATGCTCACTAGAACTGATGACTTATTTTTCATCTATAGGGATGAAAAGTTTCACATCAGTATATAATAAACTTTTTTTATAATAAACTTTTTAAGCTTTGCATGAAATTTCACCCTATGATGACCTTTCTGTCTGTCAAAAATCCTACCATCCAAGTTTCATATTAAATGTAACCCTCTCTATAAGGCCTTCTGAGTTCCTTAACTAATGTATCTCCATATCTTTTGAATTCCTAGTTTATTTTATTTGTATCTCTTTTAGAATGCCTTATAGTCGGTCTTACCATATTTACTTAGATTTCTGTCTTACAACCACTGATAAATTGTAAGATCCTTGAGGGCAGACACCTTGCCTTGCACATTTCTGTTCCCTGCCCCACAATACTTAGCATAATACTATTCCATGTAATAGGTACATAATGAATATTTGCTGAGCTGAATTACAAAATAAATGATGTTGAAAAAGAATAATACAAAGAACAGAACTCAGTAGAACAAATTATGACAACTGAATTAATCCTTTCTACTGAAGGGTTTCTAGCAGCTTTTTAATGTACTTTAATTGTTCTTAAAAAATGATTAAAACAATACACTCTAGTACATGTAATAAAATATTTGTGTAAATTGAGAGGAGAGAAGAAAAGGAAGTGATAAAGAAATAAAAAAAGAAAAGCTAAAAGAAATGAGAAAAGGGAATAGTTGGAATAAAATTGATAAAATGGGAAAAATAAGAAGAAAAAAGGAAGGATGCAGAAAATATATCGATGACCAATCCATATATCTCTTCCATTCTACTGAAGCATTCCTTTATTAATTGCTAATCCACTCATCTACCAAAACTAATGGGAATTTCTATAAAATGAGTTTCTTTATATGTGTCACTGAACACTGTGGACTATTTATTCTCTTAGGTATATCTCTGGCACTTCCTATAGCTTTCCTTTCAGAGGAAAGAAACTGTAATTGGTTCTCTTCTCTTTTAACTATACTCAGTAACACATGAAGTTATTTTCCCAAGAACACTGTCAAATTAAAACTTGAATTAATTCCTACGTTTCCAGGCTTCTTATACTTTACTACCTCCCACATACTCTACAATTCAGGTACAATGGTCTAATTGCTATTCCTTGTACACAGCATTCCACCTCCACACTCCTTGCCTTCTCACTGGCTACCCTTTGTGTCTTGAATTATCTCCCTCATTTTTACTGCTCAGATTTCCTTCAAAATCTAGCTGACATTGGCAGCAGGTCTCTCACAGTACCTGTGCATTCCCTCTGAGATTATCATCCATTTACACTGTGTAGATCTTATGTGTACACAGTTACTTGAATGCTGTCTCCTTCATTAGAAGGTAAGCTTCTTGAGAGCAGAGACCTGTTTATGTCTTTCATAGTATCTTCATTTCTTAGCATGATACCTGGCACACAGTAAGTGCATATTAAATACTTACTGACTAACTGAATAGAAAATAAGAATTATTCATACTCCTTTTCCCATTCTTTTATAAACTCAAATTTTAAAATCAAGAAACTAAAACATTAATTCATCAAATGAGCATTCAAGAAAATCCAGTCATTGCTATGTCATCGCTATTACTCACATTTTATAACCCGCATGGGGCCAAGTTCTGCCACTTAGAACTTTCCATGTTCCAAACTTGCCTTTTCTCTTTATGACAGCCAGTATTTTGATGAAATTTCCAATTATTTCTCACCTATACTATTCCAAGCAGTATTCCTTCAAGGTTCACCTATGCTCAAAATAGCCTCTATTCATGCTAGCTGCCAGCTGATCAACCCTGGTATATATTCTGGCCAGTTATTCTCATGGAACTGCTTATTCTCTAGCTCAGAAGTTTCCAAGCCATTCCTTTCTCATTATGTTCTTTATCCTCTGGCTGAGGAAAATATATTATAAACTGACATGGCACAGGTAGTTGTATCAATAAAATATATATATTCTAAAAATATATGTATATTGATAACACATAAGCAGTGATTAGGATGTAATCACTTATATCAGGAGTATCAAACTCATTGCTCCCAAGTGTGGCCAGAATCAGAGCAATCTGGGAAATGTATAATAAAATAAATGTGCAATACAGCATATTATTAATTTATGGTTTCCTGAGTCAATATGCAGGGCAGTTAGGTAGCGCAGTGGAGTGCTGGCCCTGGAGTCTGAAAGATTCAGCTCCCTGAATTTAAATCCAGCCTCATGCACTTACTAGTTGTGTCACTCTGGGCAGGTCACTTAACCTTGTTTGCCTCAGTTTCCTCATCTGCAAAATGAGCTAGAGAAGGAAATGGCAAACCACTTCAGTATCCTTGCCAAGAAAACTCCAAATGTGGTCACAAAAAGTCAGACATGACAAACAACTGAACAACAATAACAGGGACTCATTTCTATTTGAGTTTGACACCACTGATTTACATTACAATAAGTCAAGTAAACAATGTAGTACTGTGTAACATAATTTCACTAAATGCAACACAGATCTAATTCATGGTTTCAACTCAAAATGGTGGAACTATGAGATAATAAAATCCACTTAAGTTGCTTCAAAGTATTATTGTGTTCACTTAACCTCTCAGTTTCCTAGGCTTTGTTGCTAAATAGCTACAGATCAGCATTAGTAAAGAGAATTTCTTTACTGGGAGTGCCCTACATCAGTGAAATAACAGCACACCCCCTCCCCCAAAATAATAAATAAAAGGAGGTATTACTGGAAAATAGAAGGAAATGCTAAAGTGCAGAGCACTCACAGATATAAAGAGATTCAGTGTTGAAAGGAACCTTTGAAAGCCATCTAATCCAAATTGAATAAGAATCCTCTCTAAAACTTAACCACAGGTGGTCACCCTATCTTTATTTCAAGACATTTCAGTAAGGACCACTACCTTCAAAGGAAGCTAATTTACTTTTGGACAGCTCTGTTAGGAAGCTTTTCTCAATCTCCAACCTAAATTTGTTTCTTTACAATTTCCATCTACTTTTCCTTGATCTGCCCTGTAGGTACAATCACAAATCTGATCTCTCTTCCACAGGATAGCATTTCAAATACTTTAAGACATCTATCACATACAACCTAAGTATTCTCTTTTCCAAGCTAAACATCTCCAGTTCCTACAGCTGATCTAGTATGCCCTGATCTTGAGGCCCATGACCACCTAGACCATTCTCCTCTGGATGTTTACCAATTTGTCAATGTCCTTTCTAAAATATGGTGCCTCCTATGAAGAAGAGCTCTAAATCACTTTTGATTAGAGAAATGCAAATTAAAACAACTCTGAAATACCACCTCATACCAATCATATTGGCTAATATGACAAAAAAAGAAAATAATAAATACTAGAGAGGATGTAGGAAAATTGGGACAATAAGGCACTGTTGGTGGAGTTGAGAACTGATCCAACCACTCTGCAGAGCAATTTGGAACTATGCCCAAAGCGCTGAGCCAGCAATACCACTACTAAGTCTGTATCCCAAAGACATCATAAAAAAAGGACCTACATGTATAATATAGCAGCCCTATTCATGGTGGCAAAATGCTGAAAATTGAGGGGATAACCCATCAATTGGGGAATGGCTGAACAAGCTGTGGTATATGAATGTAACGGAATACTACTGTGCATAAGAAATGATGAACAGGCAAATTTCAGAAAAACCTGGAATGACGAACTGATGCAAAGTGAAATGAGCAGAAACAGGAAAACACTGTACCCAGTAACAGCAATATTGTGTGATGATCAACTATGAATGACTCAGCTCTTCTCAGCAACATAAGCACAGCCTCTGAACTCGAGCTCCCTGCTTTTTAAAAAAAAAAAAATGAAATAAGCTATTGTTCTCTCCAAAATAAGTACAAAGGACACACGAAGGAAAATGCTATCCATATCCAGATAAAGAACTAATGAAGTCTGAATGCAGATCAAAGCATTTTTTTCACTTATTCTTTCTTGTAGGTTTTTTTCTTTCGATTGTTTTTTCTTCCACAATTGTGATCAATATGGAAATGTCTTACACAATAGCATGTATAAACTATGTATCAAACTGCCTACCATTTTCAGAAGTGGGGAGGGGAGAGAGAAAGGGAGAAAAATTTGGAATTCAAAATCTCATAAAAATGAATGCTAAAAATTGTCTTAATATGTAATTGTGGGGAAAATGCTATATTTAAAAAAAGATTGTAAACGTGCATGTTGGGTAGGGGGGCAGTAGCTAGGTTCTGACATACTTTGGATGCTAAATATAGAATTTCATATCTGAGGTGGGGGGGGGGGGTTATGACATGGCCAGACTTGTGCTTTAGGAAAATAACTTTGGCAGCCAAATGGACCAAACATAAATCAATGACTCCATGAGAGAACAAGAAGTATAAGAACAAAATCAAAAGACTGAAAAAACAGAAAAAGTAAATTTTCTAAGATCAAAAATAAATGACCTAGGAAACAGTGAAGAGAAATAATGTGACAACAATATCTAGAAATCTAACAAAAAGATAACCCTCCCAAAAAAATAAAACACGGTGCCTCAAAATGAACACCATACTCCAAATACTTGAGTTACTCCAGTTGTAATCTGACAGAGCAGAGTAAAGTAGAATTAGCAGCCAGTTCTGGACACCATATGTCTCTTGATACAGATTAATGAGACTATATTAGTACTTTTTGGCTGCTATATCTTACTACTAACTCATATAAAAGCCCCAGATCTTTTTTCATATGAATTGTTGTGTAATCATGCTTCTTCCCCATCTTGTATTTCTTCATTTTTAAAAACAATTTATCTCTACTAAGTTCTTTTAGATTTTACAAGATTTTTCTGGATACTGACTTTGTCATCCAAGCTATTATTAAGTATTTTTCCCAGCTTTGTGTCATCTGCAAATGTGATAACCATGTTATCCTGACAAGTCACTTATGCTCTGTCTGCCTCAGTTCCTTCACGTGTAAAACGGCACCTACTTTTCCCAGGATTGCTGTATGGATAAAATCAGGTAATAGGTGTAAAGCTCTTTGCAAACCTTAAAATGATACATAAATATGAGGTATAAATATCTATGTGTCTACTGAAATTTCTGCTAAAAAAAAAGTGGATTCAAGAAGCATTCCACTAAAACTGAGATAAACTATTAACAATTAACTTTTTGTGCCTGAAAATTCAACTTGTACTTTAAACCAGTTAAATGCATTATAATCTAACCCACATTTCACCACTATTATTCACTAATGAAGACTTCAATAGCAAACTGAACTATTAACAAATATAAACATTTTAAGGATAAAGAAATCTGAGGCAAAAGAAACCTAAATCATTTACCAGAAAGGGCAAGGAGAAAGTATAAAAACATGTATCTATATGTGAGTCTCTAAAATTTATAATCTTCAAAATGTGTAGAAGCCAGTGGATTTTGTTCCTTAAAACAATGTTCTAACATCATAATTTTCAATAAAAACACACACATTTGATAATCATATGTATACCATTTTGTGTTTTATATTACTCAGTGGAAAGTATATCTTTAGCTTCTTTAAAGAAAAAATTTCAAAAATGTTTTTAATTTTAATTTTTTGATTTTTTTTGATTGGGCAATGGGGGTTAAGTGATTTGCCCAGGGTCAAACTGCTAGTAAGTGTTATGTGTCTGAGGTCTGATTTGAAGTCAGATCCTCCTGAATCCAGGGCTGGTACTCTATCCACTGCACCACCTGGCTGCCCCCAAAAACGTTTTTAAAAGTAAATAGTAAAAGTAATATCTCTGGTATATTTGAGTGCTCAGGTAGCTATAACAAATGATATCTAAAAAATGAATATTGTTGCTAATAACTGAAATTTCTAAGCCACAGGTAACAAACTAGCATTTGACAACCCAGTTAATGCCTCTTTAAATAGTGGCTATAATCTGTTCTCATACTATTAGTTAAGACTTTCAGGTTTACAATCAAGAAGTTAGAACCTAGAGTTTAAAGGTACATCCCTAAGCCTTTGTCTTTCCGAATGAACACTTACTGTTTAAATTATTCTCTGCTAGTTCTGCTGTTCAAAAAGAATTATAACAGTTTATTATAACTCCAAGGAGGGGCAGCTAGGTGGCATAGCACCGGCCTTGGAGTCAGAAGGACCTGAGTTCAAATCCAAACTCAGACACTTGATACTTACCAGCAATGTGTGACCCTGGGTAAGTCACTTAACCCCAATTTCCTCACCCAAAATAAGTAAATAAATAACTCCCAAGAAAAAAAAACCCAGACTTTAAATGAGAATATAATATAAGAGAGGCACTGGCATTTGTGACATCCCAAGAAATACAAATAAAATTCTATTAGGATGAATATCATAAAAAAAATTCTATAAAACAAAATCCATTTTAGGTCCCATCAAATAAACCTTGGTGGCTTGGCTTTGTTGATCTAATTTGGCTGCAATAAATAATTCTGAAACATAAGTTTTTTTCTCATGTCTCCAACTCTTGAAGTAACTAGAGTACCTTTCAAAACTATTGCTAGTTAAGACATAATGTGTCTCTAACCAAACGAGAGATCAAGGCAATCATAAAAAATAAAGCATAATCAATTAAACGAAATTGAAAAGCTTTTGCAATGATGAAGTCAATTAGGATAAGAAGAAAAGTTATCAATTGAGAAAAAAATCTTTCTATCAAATATCTCATATCTGATAGCTAACATTATACAAATATAAGACCAAAAGCCATGAATAACTGGGCAAAGGATATGAGCGAACAGTTCTCAAAAGAACCGTAAACTATTAGTATACGTATGAAAGATTGCTCCAAATCACTAAAAATAAGACAGATGAAAATCAAAACAACATGGAAGTCTCATTTCACAATTAGCAAATTGATGACAAAAGTAGGGAATAGTCAGTGTTGGAGAGATTGCATAAAGTCAGGCACACCAATATCCTATTAGTTGAGTTGTAAATTGGAAACCAATTTGGAAATTTGTAATTATACTAAGAAAATGACTAGATAGATATCCAAACAAGCCCAGAGATTCAACTACTAGCCAGAGACTCTAAGAAATGATGTATATAAAGAATAGAGAGAAGCATGGGAAGATGTCTACTCACGTGCAAAGTGTTTCACCCTACACAGCTAGGGGGGAAATATGCATGATGACAATGACAATGGAAATGGAAAGAATAGCAACAACAGTGAAACCAGACACTATGTAATTACAATGATCAAACTTGGCCCTGAAGAAGAGATGGAAAAATCAATGTCCCACCTTCTGTGCAAAGATGGGCGACAGTTTGTATTGCCTAATATCAGAATAGTCAATGAGATTAATTTTGCTGAACTGTATTTTTCCTTTTCTCTTTCTTTTTTATTCTTTGTTACAAGGGAGTAAGAACAGTTAGGTGGTTTTTACAATAGCCCAGGCAAGAGATAATAATAGCCTGAAGCAGAGTAGTGGCAATGTGAAAGGAGAAGGCACAGTTGTGAAAAAATATTGGAGAGACATAAATGATTCAACCCAGGGAACAAAGGAGAGAGAAAAGTTAAAGACCATGCAAGGTATCAAGTAGGGATGACCCAAGAGAATGGTGGTACCATCTATGAGCAGTCTGGAGGACAAACAAGGTTAGAGGAAAAATAATGAATCCAATTTTTGACATTCGGTATGAGGTGTTTACGTCCAAAATGGAGTTGAAAATGGAAGACAATAATGCTCAAGTGAGAGATTTAATCTGGATACATAAATATGAACATTACTTGTAAGCTGTGAAACAGTAATAAGCTAGATTTTAGCTTAGTAATAATAGCAATAAGCTTAATTTTAAACAAAACTAGAATAATTCTTTTTTTAAAAGATAAAGGTCTTACAAAAGAATAGGTATTAAGAAGCAGATAATCTTAAAGTTAAACTTTAATTCAAAATTTTATTTGAAGAAACTAGAAGGAAAAACAGATATAAAACTTCTAATATTTTAAACAAGTTTCTGCTAAATAACTTCTTTTTACTAGTTAGGGCTCAAAAAGTACACATTAGTAACATTTTTTTAAAAACAAGCACATCAATCAGTATTGTAGAATAGTATCAAAATACTTTTATTTATTATTCTATGAAATATTATAAAGCTGTTTATAAAGTAATTTCAGCTGTTCATACAAATTTTAAAATTACACAATGTTTAAATAATCATTTGTCACGAATAGCCCACACAGATATGGAAAATCAAATACTTTTAATAATTTATTAAATTTTATTTATATATGCCTAAAATTTTATATATAATACCTAAAATTAGGTAAACCTTTTCCTTTCAAAATATACTTGAGTAATAACATAAAAGGTCAAGTACATAACAACTTTAAAAAAATAATTTCTTCCTATAATAGTAGATAGCTTTATTTTAGTACATTATCTTATCCCTACGCCCAAAAGAGTATTAAATCTTAACAGTTTTCAAACCCAATGACTGAAATCAGATTAGTTATCATTTGGACTACCTGATTTATAAAGCATTTAAAATAAAAATTTTAGATTATGAAATTCTTGAACACAGTCAAGAAATAATAACTTTGGCTACATGACATATTTTGATTTAGATATTTACATATCTTTCCAAATATTTAGCCTAGTAACAAATTCAACCTATACTAATTAATCATCATTCTATAGTATAAATATGTTCAATATTTTATATAACCCTAGTTGTCTTCCTACAGTAAAAAAGGGGAAGTTCTGCAATGATGATATTTCACAATTAATATTATTGCTGATTGTTAACTGCACAAAAATCATTAACATAAACTGCTATTTTTTGCCCGATACAATTAAACTCAAT